GAGCCTGTACCACGGCTAACAGCTCCCTGTCCCCTACGTCATAGTTCCGCTCCGCCGGACTGAGCTTCTTAGAGTAAAAAGCACAGGGGCGGAGTTTAGGTGGCGCGCCAGATCGTTGTGAAAGCACGGCTCCTAACCCGGCCTCCGACGCATCCACCTCTACTTGGAACGGCAAAGAGGGATCCGGGTGCGCCAGCACTGGGGCCGAGGTAAACAGGTCCTTCAGCCTCCCAAACGCCCTGTCCGCCTCGGCCGACCACTGCAGACGCACCGGACCCCCCTTCAACAGAGACGTGATGGGAGCTGCCACCTGTCCAAACCCCCGGATAAACCTCCTGTAGTAATTTGCAAACCCCAAGAACTGCTGCACCTCCTTCACAGTGGTTGGTGTTTGCCAATTACGCACGGCCGACACTCGATCTACCTCCATCCTCACCCCTGACGCAGACAACTGATAACCCAAAAAGGAGACCGACTCCTGGAAAAACAGACACTTCTCTGCCTTCACATACAGGTCGTGCTCCACCAGCCTCCGCAACACCTTGCGCACCAGGGCTACATGCTCGACACGGGTAGGTGAGTACACGAGAATGTCATCAATGTACACCACCACCCCCTGCCCCTGCATGTCCCTGAAGATCTCATCCACAAATGATTGGAAAACTGATGGAGCGTTCATCAACCCGTATGGCATGACCAGATACTCGTAATGGCCCGAGGTGGTACTAAAGGCTGTTTTCCATTCATCGTTCTCCCTGATGCGCACCAAGTTGTACGCGCTCCTGAGATCTAGTTTCGTGAAGAAACGCGCCCCATGCAACGACTCAGTCATGGTCGCAATCAGCGGGAGTGGATAACTATACTTCACCGTAATCTGATTGAGACCACGGTAATCGATGCATGGGCGCAAACCACCATCCTTTTTCTTCACGAAAAAGAAACTCGAGGACGCGGGGGAAGTGGACGGCCGTATGTATCCTTGTCTCAGTGATTCGTCTATGTAAATCTCCATAGCTTTCTTCTCCTCCTGAGACAGAGGATACACATGGCTCCGTGGGAGCGCAGCTCCTGCCTGGAGGTTTATCGCACAATCCCCCTGCCTATGGGGTGGCAACTGCGTCGCCCTCGCCTTACTAAACGCAATAGCCAAATCCCCATACTCAGGTGGAATGTGCAATGCGGGCACCTGGTTTGGACTCTCCACCGAGGTAGCCCCTACGGAAACGCCCAAACATCTACCCACACACTGAGCAGACCACTCCATCAGAGCCCTCTCCTGCCACGAAATCACTGGGTTATGGGTACTCAACCAGGGCATTCCCAGCACCACCGGATACGCAGGAGAGTCAATCAGGAACAGCTGAATCATCTCCTGATGACCCCCCTGCGCACACATCCTAAGTGGCGCCGTGACCTCCCTGATCAAGCCCGTACCCAACGGACGACTATCTAGGGCGTGAACGGGAAAAGGAACATCAACAGGAATGAGGGGAATCCCTAACGCTAAACAAAACTTTTTATCAATAAAATTCCCAGCTGCGCCTGAATCTACCAGCGCCTTATGCTGGGCATGAGGTGCTACCTGTGGAAAACGTACAGGCATACAAAAATGGGCAACAGAGAGCTCTGGGTGAGTGGGGCGCCTACTCACCTGGAGGGAATCCCCAGTGCGGGGCCTGTCGTCATCTCCCCTAGGAGGCCATCCCCAGCACCTAGCCGCGGTGTGTCCTCCCCGGCCACAGTTGGTGCAGTGGATGGACCCCCTAGCCTGCCGACTCCTCCTCTCTCTAGCGCCAGCGCCCCCGAGCTCCATGGGACAAGGCTCGGAGGCGCTGGAGGGTGGAATGGACGGACCCTCCGCAAGACGTCCGCGGGTAGCCAGCAGGGTATCCAGCCTGATGGACATATCCACCAGCTGGTCGAAGGTGAGACTGGTGTCCCTGCAAGCCAGCTCCCGACGGACGTCCTCTCGTAGGCTGCATCGGTATAGATCGGTGAGGGCCCGATCATTCCACCCTGCATCTGCCGCCAGAGTACGGAATTCGAGTGCGAATTCCTGGGCACTTCTCCTCCCCTGTCGGAGGAAGACCAGACGCTCCCCCGCCGCTTTCCCCTCCGGGGGATGGTCAAACACCGCCCTGAAGCGGCGGGAGAACTCAGTGTACGTAATGGTCGTGGCGTCTATCTTCCTCCACTCCGCGTTGGCCCACTCCAACGCTTTTCCGGCCAGGCAGGAGATCAGAGCGGACACGCTCTCGTGCCCTGAAGGTGCCGGGTGCACGGTGGCCAGGTATAGCTCGACCTGGAGCAGGAATCCCTGACACCCAGCCGCTGTCCCGTCGTAAGCCCTCGGGAGAGATAGTCGGACTCCTCGAGGTTCCGGTGCTGGAACGGGCAGGCTGGCCGATGGTGCTGGCAGGGCGGGCGGTGGTGGAGGCGAACCCCAGCCTCGGAGTGTGGTAATCACCTCCTGCAGGGCGTTCCCCATCTGCAGGAGTTGCTCCTGCTGATCCCGAACCTGGGCTTCCAGTCTTGTCTGGGCTGCTTCGGCTCCTGCTGATTCCATGACTGGTGTATGATTCTGTCAGGGCGTGTGTAGGTGTAGTGTAGGAAATCAGATGCAGGACGCAGACGGTAGGTTCCAAATGCTGTATTCCGGCCCAAACACAGGCAACAGGGCAACTAAGCCCAACAGCTAAACTACGCACAAGGCGTATAGGCAAAATGCGCACAAACAGGTGCGACAAAATGAAGTAGTGCACGAAACAAGTGCAATCGAGCTCCAGCGCAGTGGAGAGAATATGCTCAACCGAGCAAACACAACACTGACGAAAAACAATCATACACAACACATGACAAACACAACGAGAAACTTATAGGACACTAATCACGTAAAACAGAAACAGGTGTGACACAAACAGACAAAAGCAAACGAACATGAAACATCTATCGGTGGCAGCTAGAATTCCGGAGACGACGAGCGCCGAAGCCTGCCCGAACAAGGAGGAGAGGCAGCCTCGGCCGAAACCGTGACACCTATAGTAGGAAAGCGAGTTTCTTATTAATAATATGCCACCTGTTATCCCACATGGCACGATCCCATAATTGTTGCAATTACAATAAAAAGAACACTATTATATAACATATTTAACATATTTTAATATTCCTGTAGAACTGTAAAAAATAATGAAATAATTTGAGCTTTAGAAACAAGTGCTTTCATAAATATGGTGGCGAGTCCATTGAGTCTCTCCTGCATCGTTTTGCTTGGAATAGACAAGCCATGGTCTCTCCACTCTCTCCCCGTTCGCCATCCTCCTATTGTAGTGGGCCACCGAAAACTTTCGTTGCCTCTCATCTCTTGGGAAATTCCCCTCTTTATCCTGATGTGGCCCAGCCTGCACTAACATATCCCGTAAAGATCCATTCATATACACTGCTCAAAAAAATAAAGGGAACACTTAAACAACACATCCTAGATCTGAATGAATGAAATAATCTTATTAAATACTTTTTTCTTTACATAGTTGAATGTGCTGACAACAAAATCACACAAAAATTATCAATGGAAATCAAATTTATCAACCCATGGAGGTCTGGATTTGGAGTCAACCTCAAAATTAAAGTGGAAAACCACACTACAGGCTGATCCAACTTTGATGTAATGTCCTTAAAACAAGTCAAAATGAGGCTCAGTAGTGTGTGTGGCCTCCACGTGCCTGTATGACCTCCCTACAACGCCTGGGCATGCTCCTGATGAGGTGGCCTGGACAGTCTGTGGTGCAACGTGGCGTTGGTGGATGGAGCGAGACATGATGTCAAAGATGTGCTCAATTGGATTCAGGTCTGGGGAACGGGCGGGCCAGTCCATAGCATCAATGCCTTCCTCTTGCAGGAACTGCTGACACACTCCAGCCACATGAGGTCTAGCATTGTCTTGCATTAGGAGGAACCCAGGGCCAACCGCACCAGCATCTGGTCTCACAAGGGGTCTGAGGATCTCATCTCGGTACCTAATGGCAGTCAGGCTACCTCTGGCGAGCACATGGAGGGCTGTGCGGCCCCCCAAAGAAATGCCACCCCACACCATGACTGACCCACCGCCAAACCGGTCATGCTGGAGGATGTTGCAGGCAGCAGAACGTTCTCCACGGCGTCTCCAGACTCTGTCACGTCTGTCACATGTGCTCAGTGTGAACCTGCTTTCATCTGTGAAGAGCACAGGGCGCCATTGGCGAATTTGCCAATCTTGGTGTTCTCTGGCAAATGCCAAACGTCCCCCACCTGTGGACGTCGGGCCCTCATACCACCCTCATGGAGTCTGTTTCTGACCGTTTGAGCAGACACATGCACATTTGTGGCCTGCTGGAGGTCATTTTGCAGGGCTCTGGCAGTGCTCCTCCTGCTCCTCCTTGCACAGAGGCGGAGGTAGCGGTCCTGCTGCTGGGTTGTTGCCCACCTACGGCCTCCTCCACGTCTCCTGATGTACTGGCCTGTCTCCTGGTAGCGCCTCCATGCTCTGGACACTACGCTGACAGACACAGCAAACCTTCTTGCCACAGCTCGCATTGATGTGCCATCCTGGATGAGCTGCACTACCTGAGCCACTTGTGTGGGTTGTAGACTCCGTCACATGCTACCACTAGAGTGAAAGCACCGCCAGCATTCAAAAGTGACCAAAACATCAGACAGTAAGCATAGGAACTGAGAAGTGGTCTGTGGTCACCACCTGCAGAACCACTTATTTATTGGGGGTGTCTTGCTAATTGCCTATAATTTCTACCTGTTGTCTATTCCATTTGCACAACAGCATGCTAAATTTATTGTCAATCAGTGTTGCTTCCTAAGTGGACAGTTTGATTTCACAGAAGTGTGATTGACTTGGAGTTACATTGTGTTGTTTAAGTGTTCCCTTTATTTTTTTGAGCAGTGTATTTTGGCCACTCACCGGGATCTTTTATGTTTTTTGTCTGGGAGTTGGATTTAGCAGCAGCACCACCACTGTCATCTGGGACGAGGATCAACGAATCTGAGTCCGGGTCCAAGATAGTAGGATCTTCGCCGGCATTGTTTGGAGGTGTGGCTAGGCCTGGTGCAACCACCTGATCTTGTCCAGCCAGAGAGCTGTCATCATCAGTGGAAGTGCATGGCTCCGACTCCTCCGGTTTGCCCTCTTCGCTGCTAGAATCAGCGAACGAGGGCTCGTTGTTCTCGGCGAAGGAATGGCCTGTCCTCGGAGGCTTGTCATTCTCCACACCGGCTGATGGACATTGCTGCACGCTGATCAATTTCAGCAGCAAATTTCTTTGGTTTAGAGACTGTGCCTCTTTTCTCATTCGTTTTTTTATATTCGCTTCCTGATAGTTTTTGTCTCTTAGACATGGTAGCAAATTGTTTCAAATCTCTATAGCTTACTTTTAGCTAAAATTATATCCACTAGTAGTAGCTAGCTAATATTAACAGGCTAGGTTAGGCTACTGCCTTAATCACTAATCGTCTTCGTCATACACAAACATATAAAACAAAACAATCATTTAATTGGCAGATTCATTTGTATTAATGTTTCACAATTGGATAAATCAATATAAACACACACATCACTATAGCTACCAAGGATAGTGGGAGTGAACTTTGGGAGAAATGGAATGGGGTGAGGGCGGGAACTGCAGCAACGCTATGAGCTGGTGGCTGGGGTGCCGTCGGCGGTGTATCAGCCGATCAGGGGCACCGAAGGGCGGCAGCCAATTGTCAAAATGCCGCCCCAAATTCAAGTGCCGCCATAGGCGGCTGCCTAATCTTGTCTAATGGGAGGGCCGGCCCTGCTTGAATTTATTCTGCCACTGTGTCTTTTTATTGTCTCGGCATTTAGTGCATCCGGAAAGTATTCAGACCCCTTGACTTTTTCCACATTTTGTTACGTTACAGCCTTATTCTAAAATGGATTAAATAAAACAAATCCTCATTAATCTACACACAATACCCCATAATGACACAACTAAAACAGGTTTTTAGACATTCTTGCAAATTTATTAAAAATGGTACTGTATATACACTACCGTTCAAAAGTTTGGGGTCACTTAGAAATGTCCTTGTGCACCGGGGCCTCCCACTCCTCTTTCTATTCTGGTTAGAGACAGTTTGCGCTGTTCTGTGAAGGGAGTAGTACACAGCGTTGTACGAGATCTTCAGTTTCTTGGCAATTTCTCGCATAGAATAGCCTTCATTTCTCAGAACAAGAATAGACTGATGAGTTTCAGAAGAAAGTTATTTGTTTCTGGCCATTTTGAGCATGTAATCGAACCCACAATTGCTGATGCTCCAGATACTCAAATAGTCACAAGAAGGCCAGTTTTATTGTTTCTTTAATCAGCACAACAGTTTTCAGCTGTGCTAACATAATTGCAAAAGGGTTTTCTAATGATCAGTTAGCCTTTTAAAATGATAAACTTGGATTAGCAAACACAACGTGCCATTGGAACACAGGACTGATGGTTGCTGATAATGGGCCTCTGTATGCCTATGTAGATTCCATTAAAAAGCAGCCGTTTCCAGCTACAATAGCCATTTACAACATTAACAATGTCTACACTGTATTTCTGATCAATTTGATGTTATTTTAATGGACAAAAAAATTGATTTTCTTTCGTGAACAAGGACATTTCTAAGTAACCCCAAACTTTTGAACGGTAGTGTATATATTTTTTGGGCTTGCCTGTTTTGCATGTTATTTTGGCATTAATACGTGTCACATATCAGTTTGCAAACAATGTAAAAAACAATATCAAAAAATCTTTGAGTTAATAAAGCCGCATACAAACATGGTCTCTTTTTGGTTTCTTGAGTAAGGCAGCTCCAAAATGCAGGTGTTTCAGCCTAGCTCAGTGTTTTCTGTGGTGGTGGGGCAGCCAGTGGAAAATACGGAGCTTAGGTTGTGGTAATGTTCTCTAGTTGCGCCGTGATTAGCTCAGTGTTCTGTCACTCGTGAGGACAGTACGTCACCGCAAGGCTAAGGGTAGAGCTCGAAAATTCAAGCCCCTTGAGTGCTGCCATATTACATTAGAAGTGCCCATCCAAGAAGGCTCAAGGTCATTGGCCACAGATAAAATTATGTAAAATCATGTTATATCTACAGTAGCGTTGATTGGACTGATCATGTCAACATCATACTTTCTAAATCTTAGCTCGCAGTCATCATATGAAGAGAAATAATGAAGAGAAATTATCTATAAAACGTAGCGGTGCTCATCGGCCATTGGACATAAACATTACACAACAAGTTGGAAATCGCAAATTCAACAATGAGTGGTTTGGAAGGAATCAGTGGCTAACCGTAAGTGTTGCAAAGCAATCACCTGCTATTCAGTGGAGTGGGTGTGTGGTCCAAGTCTAGGTTTAAGGGTCTCTTTTCCAAGCTTAAAGGGATAAACATTCTACACCATGGGCCATAAAAGGTTGAATACATTGGACATGCTGTCAATTCAGCATGACTTCTGCTGCATTCAAAACACCTGGAAATTTGGAACTGGGAAATCTCAGACTTCAGTGAGTTCAAGATAACTGGGAACTCTGAAAAAAACGAGCTCCGGCTGGGAAAATATGTTTTGATCGGTCATCCAACTCGGAATTCCAAGTCCGGAACTCGGGTCTCTTTCTAGAGCTCCGACCTGAAGATCACTGACGTCATGATTCGACCTTGTTTTTTTCAGAGTTCCCAGTTCTTGAAAGCACCATAGATCCAGAGAATGCCAGACTTTGATGACAAACTTTGATGACAAAAATTGACCACAAAGGACCGTGCCACCTTCCTGTTCAAGTGAGCACAGCACAACAAGGTGAGTCCAAAAATGTATTGTATGCTGCTGCATAAATGATGTAATATGCCAGGGAGATATGTATACTGTAGCTAAGAAAGTAATACTAAGTGTATGTTGTGTAGTAAGCTGCTAGTAGCCCATGTGCCTCACCCTAATAATTTGGTCTATTTTCCCCTCTTAATTTCGCCTACTGTTCTGACTTGGTTGTGCACATGTAGCCTATAACCTGTTTTAGAGAAACGTAATCATCGAATATTGTAAGAGCTTTCATTGTCTGCTTTATTTATCCTACGGTTTTTTAAAAGGCAGTAAATGAGGCTGAATGGACTGTTTCGCTGCCAGACAAGGCTCCGCTGATAGCCAGGTGTAGCAATGGTAAGATGTTGGGACTGCTGTTGGGACTGCTGTTGGGACAGCTTTATGTAGGCCCTAACAGTTTGTGGGCACCGTTTGTCACCGTTATAATGCAATTAATGTATTGTTTAGTGTTGTGTTGTGGCTTTGCTGGCATACATCCCACAGGTTTTTTTTTTTTTGCCCCACCAAGATTTACATGCTAAAATCGCCACTGACTCACTGTGGCAAGGCATATGAATTGACAGGTTATAGAGATTGTAGGTTGTAATATGTATATTTTTTTTTTTCAGGCTTCCCCAGTGATTTTACCCATGCACGGCTACTGTATGTGTGGGATTTGGGGTCCATCTCTTCCACAGAGAAGCAGGTCCATTTCTCTGGTGGGCCAGTCCATGGTCAATTCTCCTCTGTCTCCCAGCTCAGGTCAATGCTATGGTGACTCACTTTACCAATGACAGGAGGAGATGGTGGCTTGAATGGTTTAAGGCAGCCTAAAGAACGCACAGGCATTGAAAGGGATAAGGTGGGGGTCAAGAATTAGCTACTTGTATTGAGAGTTAGGGCTGTGGCAGTCATGACATTTTGTCCACTGGTTATTGTCAGTTGGCAGATCAGGCTGTACCGACTTCAGACGAGTCCCAAGATGCTTGTGGGGGCCTTGTGTGGGTCATAGAGCAAATTGTGTTTGTGAGAGTATCATCTTTACATAGAGGGGTCGTAACAGTTTGTAGGCCAAACCGATGCTACAGATGATTTTGTGAGAAGACTGTTTTTCAGGATGTCTCATGGTCTGACAAACACTGCTGTAGCTGTCACCTTTCACCTGCAGATGCGGAAGTGCGACATCGGCGGATGCTGTGGATTGAGAAGCATCAAATGAAAAAAAAAAAAAGAAGTTCTCTCTAGTTTAAATGTAAGGATTTTTATGGTGATTCATTATGCAAATGTATTTCCGCGGGGGCGCGGACATCGACTGTACGGCTGCAATGGAAAAGTAGTTAGCCACTTTAGCTAACTAGTGAAACGTTTTCCACACTGTCGTTAATGCCTTGATGATGACGGTTAATGGTTGCTATGGGAACCACATTGTGGCGGGTGCGGGAAAACCTGATGTGCGGGACATCCTTCGAAGTTTGGTCACCCCTGTGATTTATCGCTACTGTTGCAATATTCATCTCATTCTCTATGTGTGCACCATTGTTGCAAATGTGAAATTGCATAATAAACTATGAACCATGCAGCTGCGCACAGCCGCACACTCCTCCACGCTGGCCATGTTCTATTCAAACTATTGTTCTCTTTTCTATTATGCCCTGGCTGGCCTGTCCCATCATTTATCCTAGTCTCATCTGTTGGACTGTGGGATTAGTGGTCACATGACCAGTCAGCCTTCACGGTCGCTGGAGCTCGTTTCATTCATTATTCAGGCTCTCCCGCTTTGGAGCAGGGCAGGGGCATTCATTCGAAGCTATTTTATTTAGCTTGAACAACCGACTTCGAATTATATAAAATCACGTAAACCTTCTTAAAATTATTTGCATCTTCGAGGCTCTTTCTGTGAGCGCGTAGCCAATCTCTCGACTGGGTAAGGAAAGGAGCGCGTAATCAACTTCAACCATGGCGCAGGGCATAACCGGAGAGAAGTATTGGGAGGATAGAGTAGCCTTCGAAACAGAAGGAGCAGGTGAAGAAGTTTCGGAATATGGTGATGTTTTGGAGCTTAATCGATTTGACGGACTACCCTACTCCTCTCGATATTACACATTACTAAAGGAAAGGATGGATCTGCCAGTTTGGAAAGCCAAGTGTGATTTCATGGACAAACTGGCCAACAGGCAGTTTGTTATGGTCTCTGGAACTGCAAAAACTGGCAGAAGCTCTCAGGTGAGTTGATTACTCTCCCCTCTGATAATAACTAGGTTTTATCTCACAAAAATATGTTGTAATGCATAGTGACTATTGGCTGCATCCCAAAAATATTTCCTTTCTCCCAAAGTGTGCACTTGTTCAATTACCTTCATGAATTTGAAAGAAAAGGACTGGTATAAGAAATAGGCCTATGGAGGAATCTCCGTCTAGCCCATGCCTATACTAATCCAATGCTTTTACATTAGTGGGAAGTACTGAACCAATGCACACTTCAGGAGAAAAGAGAGATTGTCAAACTGGTAAGTGAAATGAGGGTTTAATGCTCTAATTATGACTGAAGGACGTGATTAGAAAGGATAATCTGTTGTGGCAGTGTGTTTCATGTTCTTATCTTTCCCCCCTGTGGCATGCTCAGATTCCCCAGTGGTGTGCAGAGTTCTGCCTGTCTGTCCAGTACCAGAATGGCATGGTGGTGTGCACCCAGGTCCATAGGCAACATACAGTGGATCTGGCCCTGCGTGTAGCTGATGAGATGGACGTCAACATCGGCCATGAAGTGGGCTATAGCATCCCCCTAGAGACATGCTGCTCTGGTGACACTGTTCTCAGGTCTGTTAACACTATTACACACACTGCTCACACACCAATTCACAAACACACTCTCTTTTTCTCATACACACTCACACACACATCACCCCCCCCACCTTCTTGGCGGCTGTCTTTTCTTTTTTTAAAGAACTGAACAAAAGAGTTGAGGAGCCTCTTTTCAGGGGGCTCCGCTGCAGCTGCCCAGCTCTCACTCTGACCATATGCCACGCTCCCGTGTCTCTCCCTGCCATAAGTCAGCCGGGGAACAAAGACCCAAGACAAGCTAAGAAACCAGGCAGCCATGGAGACCTAATGAATCCACTGACTAGACTAATAACTACACTCTTAGAAAAAAATTTGCTATCTAGAACCTTAAAAGGGTTCTTCGGCTGTCCCCATAGGAGAACCCTTTAAAGAACCCTTTTTGGTTCCAGGTAGAGAATCCTTTTGGGTTCCATGTAAATCCCTTTCCACAAAAGGGTTCTACCTGGAATCAAAAGGGGTCCTACCTGGATCCAAAAATGGTTATCCTATGGGCACAGCCTAGGAACCCTTTAAGGTTCTAGATAGCGCCTTTTTTTCTAAGAGTGTAGTTATTAGTAGAGTAAGGGCTCTATTCAATCTGTTTCGCGGAAGTTCAGCGTTACAGCGTGATTGAAATTTAAAGGCAATGTTCCCGTGTTAGCGGAGACTGCATTCATGGTAAACGCTGCATATGTCGGCTCTATCGGAAAATACCTTTACATTTCTATCGAGCAATCTGTAACACTTCAGCAATACAGATTGAATAGAGCCCTAAATGACACTAGCGCAAAGCAGCCAAGCACAGCAGCTTCATTGAGGACCATTTCAGGATGACGGCTAATTGTCTCCTTATACATCATGTTGTCTTACACTGTTGGCTTTAATTTGCTATTAGAGCACTAGAATGTATTGCTTTTATGTTTTTGTGTATGTACTTGATAAATCACTTTAGTAGAACTTTATCAACACATATGCTACTCCCACAAAATGTTACCCTACGCCTGTTTGTGACCATTTTCCTCTTCACCACCCCAGGTACTGCACTGATGACATGCTGCTCAGAGAGATGATGTCAGACCCCATGCTGGAGCATTACGGTGTCATCGTCATCGACCAAGCCCACGAGAGGACGGTCAGTACAGATGTTCTACTGGGCCTTCTCAAAGACATCGCCCTGCAGAGGCCCGAGCTCCGTGTGGTGCTCCTCACAGCTACACACCCAGGACCCAAACTACTGGGCCACTACAGGAATGTCCCACTGATCCAGCTGGAGGGGGTGTGTTCAGCGGAGGTGGTGTATACTGGTACCAGCCACAAGGACTACTTCTGCTCTGCGCTGCGTCTGGTTCTGGAGATACACCACTCCCAAGAGGAAGGGGATATAGTCGTGTTTTTGGCCACAACTCAAGTAAGATCTTCTTAAAATGTCATATCCTAGTCTACAGTCTGGGAATGTGGCAGAAGCCATATCATGACAACTGTTGCTTCGACAACAGCATTACTCAACCTTCTCTCCTTCTTTTATGTTTTATTAGGAGATAGATCTTGCCCGTGATATCCTCCTTCACGAGGAGGCCAATATACCCCCACATCTAGGGGAACTTCTCCCTATCTCAGTGCACCCTGGGCTGGTTGGGACTCTGCCCATGCTAGGTGAAGAGGAAGGCCGGTGCAGAAGAGTATTCCTCACCTCCAGTCCAAATGAAGACCTCTTTTGGGCTGTGCACATGCTGAACTTTGTCATTGATGCCGGTGTCCAGAAAAGAAATGTGAGTAACTTATTGATGAATAGTTATTTTAAGCAAACCTTTGTACCCCTTTTTGGTAACAAGATTGTAATAAATTAGTGGTGTTTTTTTATGAATGTCTGTCTTTCCTCATGTTATAGATTTATAACCCTAGGATCAGGGCGAACTCAGTCGCCATTCAACCTATCAGTAGGATTCAAGCAGAGAGCCGCAAACAGCTTGTAGGGCCAACAGGTATGACAAAGACTGAAATCAGTAACAAAGTCCAGGTGTTGAAGTCACACAGTTTGGAGGGTCATGTGTTCTTGCTAACCTGAGCGCATAATTTCCCGCAGGGAAGAGTTTTTGTCTGTACCCAGAGGACACACCCCTGCCCAGTGAGACACGCCCCCACATCCTGGAGTCTGACATCACATCCACGGTGCTCTTCCTGAAGAGGATGGACATCAGTGGCATGGGCCGCTGTGACTTTATCGACAGGCCAGGTACGGCAAGACAGGCTGAACAAGTACAGGCTCTTTCTTCAACATTACATTTTCTATTGTATCTACAGTACCTATGTGACAGGGCAGCTAAATGTATACATACTGAATGGAGTGATACATCAGTACAATGAAATTACATCCTTAACGCATAACGCAATAATGTCCCTTGATTGGTGGCATAATAACACCATTGTTGTTTTGTATTTACGTTTTTGAGCTCCATGCATCCTGTATAGAGACACATTTTGGGTTGAGCTCAGTTATTTAGTTCGGCCCGTGTGGCCGGTACACACAGGCCTGTTGTGTGGTATTGTGTTCTATTGGAGGTCGGTGAGCCATGCGTTAGCTGAGCTGACAAGCCCTGTTCTATGGCCAATGTTTGCATAGCTGGCCTAGTGATGCAGCAGCAGCAGCCATAGAGGTCTAACACTCATTAGCGATAAGAGCTTAGCCATGCTCTCTCTCTGTGTGTGTGTGTGTGTGTAAGCCCTGCCAAGCACTACAGTGTAATGATCATGTGCAGCTGGGCAATGTGGGCATTTCACTATAAGCACCATGAGTGGATGACATTCAGATTGAAAGTGTTGTGTTGATGGGTGTGATGCAATGTTGTTATTATTATGTTGCTGCTGTTGTGATGCTGTTTCTCAGGATTATATTATTACCATAATGATCATAACGGGACAGTACATTTGAGATGTCTATTGCCCTGTATATAGTTTTTTTGTTGTTTTTTGAAAACATTGTTACATCCAAAAGCCGCAGTGTAAAGCAAAGCCTCTCAGAACATTTATTTTGCATAGTGATGCACAGCTGATATTAGGATATCGAGGACTTAAATTACAATCAGTTTAGCCTGCTTGCTGGTTGTATAACCTTGAAAATAATCAGTTTTACAAGGTTGTAGTCATAGTTTACTTTCTTTACAAAGCCAGATACTTCACAGTTCTGTCACGCACAGTTCGATTCATGTCCATGGCTGTGTTATTTCCACCAGATCCTGAGGGTCTGATGCAGGCCTTGGAGGAACTGGACTACCTAGCAGCCCTGGATAATGACGGGAACCTGTCGGAGATCGGCATCATCATGTCTGAGTTCCCCCTGGAGCCCCAGATGGCCAAGACACTACTGGCCTCCTGCGAGTTTGACTGTGTCAATGAGGTGGTCACCATCACCGCCATGCTGACAGGTGTGTGGGACTTCACCTTATGCTCTGTGGCCTATATACCACGTTAAAGATTAATGTTAACACACACATCACCATGCTGTGGTCATGCTTGCACACTTGCAGACCTCATACAAAGTGAAGTCATGTCAAACCTCACATATACTTCATAATGTACAATATTAGTGTGCTAACCCCTTCTCTCACGCTGCCCCTCTCTTAGCACCAAGCTGCTACCTGGTCCCCTCAAGGGAGTTGAGGCTAGAGGCCTCTCAGTGTCACCTGAAGTTCCAGCACCCAGAGGGAGACCACTTCACCCTCATCAACATCTACAAGGCTTTCAAACAGAACCAGCAGGAGCCCTGTGAGTTCACATAGGCATACCTGTAGCCACAGTGCATACAAACAGCTTTTTTTTTTTAAATAGGATAACATTGGCCATTGACCCTAAAACCCACATTTCCTCTCTCTGGTTTGGTGTGTTCCAGTTGTCAGTGTGGAGAAGTGGTGTCAGGACTACTTCCTGAGTCTGCCTGCCCTGCAGACGGCTGATGCTATCCACTCTGAGCTGACTGACATCCTGAGGAGGATAGAGCTGCCTGTCTCCATGCCTTCCTTCGGCTCCAAGGGAAACACTCTCAACATTAAGAGAGCGCTGCTAGCTGGCTTTTTCATGCAGGTACGGTAATATGTATTCGCTTCTACCTTCTGGCATTAGCTATCTATTGATAACTGTTACTACTAAGAAACTTGAAATATACAATCTACCATTTACTTACTCGCATCACTAGCAAGAGCCATGTGTGGGTTTCTCTTTTCTTTGAAGTTATCGCATTGTTCCCATGCACCTGCAACAAGATATCTCAGATGTGTGAGTTCCTTTTGAAGTGAAGCTTGAAGTGATTATAAAAGACCGATAATGTTATGACTTTCAGGTGGCAAGGAATGTGGATTCATCAGGGAATTACTTCATGTTGACACACAAACGCGTGGCCCAGATCCACCCTTTCTCTGCCTACGGCACCAAGACACCCAAACTGGGCCTGCCGGAGTGGGTCCTCTTCCATGAGTACTCCTTCTCAGAGGACAACTGCATCCGCACCGTGTCCCACATATCACCAGAGGAGTAAGTGGACTAGAGGTGGAGGATGTTCTTTGAGGGCTTTGTGCATGTGAAGTAACCATTTGCAAAAGACATACAGCAACGAAACAAACATCCAAACATAAAAAATATCAAAATATAGTATATATAATATAATAGGTTAGAACCGTGTGTAGCTTGTAACTTCCAATAGATAACTACAGATATTTACTTCAGGGAGAGACAAGAGTTCCCAGACATTACTTTCCCTTTTGGACCAGGCTCTTCACCATGGCACATTAGAGTTTGTAACTGGAGGGGGTTTCTTAATCCTTCCCTCCAGTATCAGCTGCTTAAAAGGGGATTAGGGATAGCACAGATACAGAGAGAGTGCTGGTTTAATGGGGACTGTTAATGACAGAGGAGGCTCGGCAGCCTTCACATGCCGTCTTAGGTTACACACTCTGAAATTTAGCTTTTTAATCGCTCAAATGTATACCAAATGGTGCCCCTGGCAGCTGTTAGACTGATGTTACTGTAAGTGCTCTTTTCAACAAAGAGAGTGGGTGTCATTCATAGGAAATCCTTGATTGCGGAATTTTGGTCAATTGCAGTGAACATCGGGAGATCCTCGTTCTTTGGTCTATGATAATCTAACTAATTTCAATTCCCACTCACTGTAATTCAAATTAATTTCAGGTTGCTCTCCGTAATTGCAGCTGACCCAATGTTCCTGTGCTATGTTTAATTAAAGTGCAAATTAATAAGATAATGCTTACTGTGAAATCAGAACCAGAACCAAATTCATGAAAAGGCACATATCAGAGGATATTGGGTTTACTCGCCCAATGTCCAACTCCATGTTCACCAATGATTCCCTCCCTCCACCCAGGTTCATTCAGATGGCTCCACAGTACTTCTTCTTCAACCTGCCTCCCAGCGAGAGCAAGGACATCCTCCAGAACATCTTAGACAATGGAGCTGAACACTACAAAGCGAAGAACATTAAAAAGAGCCCGAGCCTAGAGAGCATACCAGAAGTCACAGCCAGTTGTGTTATACAGTGATTGTGAAGGCCTTGGTTGAGGATGTCTTAGAGGCAGAAAATCCCTACTCATTCCCTGGTACTGTATTATATGATCATTTTCACCAGTGTTACCTTTCAGTCATCTCACCAGTGTTACTTTTGAGTCATTGAAACTTAGCCTGACATTGACATGATTCTATCTAATGAATATAATTAAATTAGTTAATTACTGGAATTGCATTATGGGAAAAAAGTGACAGTATCTGTCAAGACTGCCAATGTGTTAGTTTTAGCAATATTTATATAGGCACCCTTTCTACTCAATGTACATTTAATTTATAGAGCCCTACGTATGTACCGGGATGTATGTTGTTTTTTGGAACTTGCAGTTTAACTATAAACACACCACTAAAAATACATGTTTGAGGAGTACTTAACCTAAATGCACATCTAGGGCTCTATTCAATCCGTATTGCGGAAGTTCAGCATTACAGCGTGATTTAAAATTAAAGGCAATGTTCCCGCGTCAGCGGAGACTGTATTCAAGGTAAATGCTGCAAAAGTTGTCTCAATCGGAAATTACCTTTACATTTCTATGGTGCAATCTGTAACGCTTCAAATACGTATATATTTGGGCAGTCCAAAAGCCAAAACATAACACAGCTTAGACACTTAACCCCCACAGGCGTATACTTTGCCCTTACCCTCCACTGCTCAGTTTAATCGTTTGTCTTACCTTTCTGTTAAATTACTCTAGGCTTTCATAGTGCATAAAATGTCTGTCCCAGATGGATTACTGACGTACAGAGGAGCAGAAACAGAACAGCACAGGGACATAATATGGGTTTGTTGATCCATCTGCTGTGAAGAGAGAAGGGATAGGTGGGGGTGACCCAATTCAGTGACAGAGCATTACAGTATTGTAGCTACATGAGGCATTACAGCACCATGTGACCTCTTTAGGCCTGCATAGTGCATACATACTTAGTCTCATGCCAAGATCCAGGGCCTTATATATACAGACAGACATAAGTTGAACTTCTTGGCACCACGGTTGGTGTTGTGTAGTAGTGTTCATACACTGTCATTACCAACCTGAACCAAGACAAGGTGATTAGAAATATTACTCAAACCTTTATTTCATGTCAGGGCAAACATGCAGGCACACACATTCAAACATAAATACTGCAACCAGTACAAATTATCCTTCGAATGAATCGTTTGCATTCAACATTGCCTGCAGGCTATTGCACATTTTCTTTTTGAAATGTTGCCTCGTTCCTGACCCTGTTTCTTCACAGCATCATTACTATAATCCAGGTTTATCAAATCCCATTGAAATATGGGTTCTCCAAAGTTTAAGTCATGCGCATGTATCCCTCATTTAGTTGGGGATAACAAAGAAAATGTATATTTGTAACTTAATTTACAAATCCTCTTTACAAAACGAAATAAAAGGGTAAAGTGCAGGAATTGTTAAACAAAATCTACCAAAAGGCAAAATTGTGGATTGCTCAATCTGGTAGTAAGGCACATTGAAGGTTTCACATTGCAGGTGTAGGTGTGTAGAGTATTGAACACCTTGGTAAGGGTCTGTTATTTTGGTTGTCGTCATGACCCTGCCCCAAGGTCCTCACTCCCTGTCTGTGGGGTCAGCTGTTGCAGGAGGTCGAGGAAGAGCTAAACACGTCTGAGGAGTGGAGCGGTCTTTTCAGCACGAAGGAACTTGGAGTAAACATTCTTATAGGTCTTCAGAAGCTCCTCATCCTTATTGCTATTGTAAACATACCATCAAATTCTGAATAGGTATTGTTTTTAATGAAAGCTATGCTTAAAGGGATAGTGCGAGATTTTGTCAATTAAGCCATTTTCTACTTAGTCAGGTGAACTCATGGATACCATTTTTATGTCTGTGTGCAGTTTGAAGAAAGTTGCTAACTAGCGTTAGCGCAATTGCTAACCAACGTTAACGCAACGACCTGAAGAATGCTAGCTGTACCTGTAGATTTCCAGTCATTGCTCTCTAAAGCTAGTTAGCAATGGCTCACAAAACTACCTTCAACTTCCTTCAAACTGCATGCAGTGACATACAAATGGTATCCATGAGTAGAAAAAGGACTTAATAGCCAAACTCTAGCACTATCCCTTATCTCCTCGATAATGGTGTAGGGATGCCGAGATAATTATACCCTAACTCAGGGGTTTCCAAACCTTTTTAGCCCACGACCTCATTTTGATATGTGAAAAAAAAGTATGTAATTAACAGCCAATGTTTACTTTTTTATTTGGGCTATGGCAGTCAATTGAAAAACATTCTAACAGTATTTCTGCTTGTCTTCTCAACTTACCATCACAAACTTTTACTTGCTCTTGTGGCTTAATGGAAGCAAGTCCCCGAAGCAATATCCCAACATCTAGTGCAGGACTGCCCAACCCTGTTCCTGGAGAGCTACCGTCCTGTAGGTTTTTGCGCCAACCCTAATCTAGCACACCTGATTCTAATAATTAGCAGGTTGATAAGATGAATCAGGTAAGTAACACCTGGGGTTGGAGCAAAAAAACCTACAGGAGGGTAGCTCTCCAGGAACAGGGTTGGGCAACCCTGATCTAGTGGAAAGCCTTCCCAAAACAATATGTCCTCGTGAATAGCATCCCCCGACACGTATAGCGAACAAAAGTCAATGCATGGGCATCTCGACCCTCACAGCTAACATCCATTTGGAGAGCATAAGCTGGGGAGTTTCCTCTTGATTGCTAGCAATAGCACAAATTATTCGTTTAACAGTGTTATCTGACAAAGGTATTGATGTGAGTTTCTGTGCCTCTGCCTCCCCACATATTGTTTTCACTGTATCAATTGCGGCCGGTAATATTAAAGTCTCTGCAATAGTGTGTGGTTTCATAGCGTAGCGGGCCTAGCCATTCACCATCAGAATGATTCAAGTGAAACGGTCAAGTGCGGCCTCTGGTTGAATTTTTACTTTTAGATGTGAATCATTTTCATTCAGATTTTTAAGGTTAACCACATTACAATGATTTTGAGATACAAAGACGATATACATATTTTTTTTGTATATTTTCCCGCAACCCCATTTTCATATCAGGGAGTCGCGACCCCTAGTTTGGGAACCGCTTCCCTTACCCCTCTTGCCACAGTCTTACAGAGACAAAGCCTTTTGCTAAAGACGAATAACAATGATTGACACTTGTTAAAGAGAAGACTACAGACACAGCTTTGTGTGGAGGGATATCTGTCACTGGGAGAGATGTGGCAGGGCAGGACCAACACACTGGGATTAAATGCTTAGGGTTCTTTAGATAATCAATTTATCTGCCGGACGTAGTACAGTCTAACTCAATATGTTGAGGGCAACAAGTGTACCAGTAGTGGTTTTAGAAGGCCTACATGATGCCCAGTAATACGCTGAAAAGATTACGGAACGTTCAGTTTTATGCTTCTACTGGATCATATGTTTAGTCCTGCTTGATAAGGTTTTAATCAGGCTGGGTATAACCAGTCCTTTCCTCACCTTGGTTTGCGCTTCATGGTCGTCATCATCTTGACCAGCTGCAGCAGTAGGAAGGAGAAACTGGGCTCAAAGACCCCAATCAACTTCATCACTTCGTGTTCAGCCCTGAGGTGGGGCAATCTGCACCTCTGTCAGGGGTCCTGTCAACTCTGGGCCATCCGTCAACAAAAAAATACGTTTTTAAAAATACTTTCATCTGGAAATGTAACAGTGGGATGAGGCATGTGAGTAATTGGGGGTTAGATGTAACCGCAGATTCTCAAACAGAAGGTGCAAACTGAAGGGATTTGCTGCTATCCAAGTTCCAGTTCTATCTCTGTTTGTGTATACCTCTGTGTGCTCCTCTATCAGCTCTTTGTGGATGAGCAGGAAGGCATGGTGAGTCTCTGTCAGGATATCCAGAGCTCCTGTCAGGGTCTTCAGCTTGGCCCCACTGCTGCTCTGACCTGTGAGCACACATTGTTACTCAATGACACCACCTTTCAGAATACTATGACGGTTCTGACCTGGCTGGAGTGAGCATGGCCCTGGCCTGGGTGAGCCTCACTGACTAACCTGCCATGGTGAACTCAGTGAAGGCCACCCTCTCCAGCAGGGTGAGGAGCAGCTCGTAAGGCGTGTCCTTCAGGCTGAGGAACAGGCGGACAGCCTTGCTGTAGTGCAGCTCTGCCAGGCTCCTGTGCTGCTTCCTCAGGTGCTCATCCCCTACCTGGCACAGAGGAGGAAACATAGAAAAAACATACTGAACACCTTAATGCTCCTCTACAGATACAACACAACCTTTAAATGTTTTAAAATATTTGACTCTGGTTACAGTGTACATCCTAGGCCTAGTCCTTACCTGGTTGCAGAAGCAGCTGTGGTACATGGAGGCCAGGCGGTGGTGGATGGTAGCAGCTCTGTCCTGGTAGAGGGGCTGGCGGGCCGACTCGGTCTGCAGGTCACAGTACTTCAGAGACTTCAACCATTTCACCTAGGGCAGCATGTAGAGTTAAGGTTAGTTAATTTACTAGACATTTTCCATTCTGTTCATTCACCTACTATGAATCTATTAAAGTGTGGCCCATGGCCTCTTACCTGTTCCTGGGCCTTCCTGGACAGAGGGGCATAGTCTGCGGCAGAGTTGCCAGGGTGTGGTAGTGGTACCTTATTGTAATAGAGAGCCTCCTCTTGGGAGAACTCTCCTCTGCTCAGATCTGCAGACACAGCACAGTAGGCCTGGGCACAGATCCTCATCAGTCTGCCTGTGTTGCACAGCAGCAGGGAGGTGTTGTGCTGTCTTCAATGGCCTCAAAGGAGGTCAGCAGCTCGTAGGCTGCCTCGTAACACTTACTGCTCACAAACAGCTCGTACTCTGGGTCCGTGGCCAGGTCACTGGCCATGTTAAAGGCTGGGGGACAGTCACACAGGCCAGACTCTTCTAATTTGTAACAACAATAATGCACTGCATTTATATATAGGATTGGTAAAGTTTTTCCATAGTAAGTATTATAATGTTAGCGTTTGTTATGACAGGTTCTTGCTTTTGAAAAGCACTACATTAAATGGCAAGACCTTTCAATTCTAAAGTATATTTAAACATTTTGGGTCAATTGTAAATACATTAGGAGGGACGTATTATATGTTTATTGTTGAAAAGTGTGTGAGTGTCTCCTTACTCTGGCAGCTGCGCTCTCTGTGCAGGCTGTGCAGCAACTCCTGGTCCTCCTTAGTCTGGTAGCTGTACTCTTCCAGGTAGGCAGCACGGTTACTTGCAATCTGGGCCAGCATCAGCTGGATGTCCCCATAACAGAGACAGACACTGGCTGTGGAACAGTAGCACCCGCAGGTGCAGGATACTCCTCACCGAACAGCAGGCATCTGCAGAGGGAGAGAGAGAGAGGGGGATGAAGGAAGGGAGGTAGACAGAAACACTAATTTGAGGTAACAAAAGTTTAACCCTATTACAACATGTCACCTACATTATCCATCAGTCCGATCTCAGACAGCCACTCTGATCAAGGTTGACTACAGAATGCTTAGCTGAGCCGGAGAGGAGACACTGACCGTGGTACTGCAGGGCCAGTTTGATGTACCGCAGGGCCCGGCCGTACTTGAGCAGGTTAGTGGCAGTGTCTGAGCCTTGGACGCCTTGAAGAAGAGCTGCAGCTTCATACGGTGCTGCCAGGACCCTGGGATCATCTCTGACCGGGTCGGATGCTTCAGGTCTTCCTGGAAGGGACCAGCTGTACCCAAGAGAAATAGAGAGAGATTGAGGGGAACGGAGAGAGACGGAGGGGGAGGGCGGGAGAGAGCGAGATGGAGGGGGAGAGAAAGACGGAGCGAGAGAGAGAGAGGGGATAATAAAGATAGATAGGAAAATAGTATAAAGAGGAAGAGAAATTGAGGTATCTATTAGGGGCAAATTCACATATAACAAGGAACCTGCTCATTATGGTATAACAACATTCATAATCAATAATGTCATATATCTATGCTTCAGAATCTTGATGGGGTCCGTGATGGCCAACCAGGAGAAGTGCAATCCCTTTCTCCACGGCCTTACTGCCATCCTCGTACTTCAGGGGGATGGGGGTGTTGGGGTCAGCAGCTGGGATGTCATTCTCCTTCTTCATGCTGCAGTCCACTGCTTTCAGGACCTGCCAATCACATCCAACAATTAGAGCTCACGGAACACAGCATTTAGTGACAACCATTCCCATAGCTATCACTACACTACAGTAGAGACTCACCTTTAAGACGTAGCTGAGGACGTGCCGACATCTTTACTCCTTGTTTTGAGAGATGGGAAATGCATAGATTGGCTGCAATATGGGAAAAGAACAGGATTAATTCATTGTCAAGATAAAACATCTAAGACACCAGTACTCACTCCAGGTAGTGGCTAGTTTCTGGTTACTGTGGCTAGGTCAAGATACAGTATATCAACACGGTCACCCAAACAGAGTAGCTAGCGACAAATGTGTGACACTCACCCTGATCTGGTGAGTGGACTTGTACTTCTCTGGAACAGACAGCTCCCACACTGATTTGATAATAGCTACAGCTTTGCTATCATCCTGTGGGTCCGAGGTGGTACTGCAGGAGCCATTCTCATCACTGTCCTCTGGTAGATCTTCTTGATCCTCCTCATCACTGTAGCTGTCCTCTGAGCCCCCGGCCCGCAGCGACTCCCCTCCAGCTCCCTCCTCTGGAGACTCGTCCAACTGGAACAGCTCTGCCTGCATGTAGTGGGCTGACGCTATGATCTGAGCCAATCAGAGAGGGGAGAGGACGGTCAGAGAGGGAACAGCCGACCACAGAGAAGTAACAGGCTAGCCGGGTTTTTCAATTAATGTGTAAATAAACTTTTTTGCAAATGTCTCTTTGGATATCAATGAGAGGTCTGCACGGAACTTTGGTCTTGTGGAGTAAGTAAGAGTCCAGTCCATTACCTGTGGGTGCCTGTCCTGGTCCAGGAGCTTGACACAGTTGAGGAGCAATGTTCTGATTGTCACATAGTGCTTCCTGTTCTGGCTCTTCTTCAGCATCATGTTGCTAGCCACTCTGCAAGAACAACAATGCACATTCTACAAAACAGAATGTATAGTCTGGTGCCACCTGTTGGGACTAATTTGCCATTAATGCATTGACTGACAACACTATGTGTTGTGTACTAGTTTCAGGTATATTGTGTTGATACTGTACCAGGTTGCAGGTACCTACTTGTAAAGGAGCACAGCCACAGGCAGGGTGAAGGGGTTCTGGCATTTCTCCTCTGCTGCTTCCTCACAGAGAGTGGTGAGGTCATACAGCTTTACGATGTCACTTCCACTAGCTGAGGAAACACAGAAACAGGACAATTCGATTAAGTAGGCCTACTACCACATAGTAGTGCTTATTTACTAGGTTATTCTCACATGTATTTTGTAAGTCCTACTAGAGGTAAAGTTAGTGTGTTGTGTTATCTCCCACCTTTCAAGAGCCAGTAGTGGCCCTCTTTGGTGCAGTTAGACTTGTGAAAGGACAGAATGTTCTGAGCGATGTCTTTCACAACCCTGGTTGAGAAGGTGGAGTTCTCAAGATCAGGGATGTCCTCTGTTTTGATCATCTCATATTTCTGACCAAAGAACAATCAGCACTAACATTAGAACAGTGTTCAATTGTGAATAAAATGACTCATTTGGGCAGTAAAGACAAGGCTTATTTACCTGGACGATGCCATTGACATGAAAGCACATGACGAGCTCTGGAACATTGCACATCAGATTGCCCAGCCAGTAGTCAATACCTGTGAGAATGTTGATTGGCTTGTTGTTATCCCTAAAAAATAAAGAACCTTCTAGGTATTTTGCAGGGGAACATTGCTGTGGAACAGTAGTAAACCATCTGAAACTGTTTATACTGACTGCCATGAATAATGCTTCTGAGGCCATTGTTTCCCGTTTTTCGTGATTCTGACCGGAGCCGCAGGCTGACGGCTGGGTAGCATCCTCCTCCAAAGATAAGCATGTTGGACCCCACCAGCATGTGGATGTCCTCAAACGTCCACAAGATGTTCCTCACAAAGTCATTCCTCAAACCCTGTCAATCAAGTTGGAGGAAAAAAGTTGAAATGATACTTGAATTGAATAGATTTAACTAATTTACAATCAAAGAAACAAATGCCAACCAAACAAAAGAGAGAAAATACACAGTCTTCAATCATCCTGAGTTTGTTGATGAAGTTTCTTAGCACTAGCCTACCTGACTGTTCTCCCCTTTGTTGAACAGTGTGGTAAGGTTCTGCTCTTTGGAAGCCACTTGTCCCAATGCATACTTGCTGTCCATGGGAACACTTTCCTGTAAAGAATGGACATACAGTCACAAAGGAAGACACAAAGGAAGAAACTGTTAAACTTAACAAGAGCACAGCAACACACCAGGTACTGCACCAGGTACTGCACCAGGTACTGCACATTGCTTACCATTTCCATAAAGTGTGGCCTACCTCTGTGTGCTGCGGCCTCCTCTGAGTCTGAAGCAGTGCTGATGAAGGTAGTGGGCCAGGAGGGACCAAACTCCTCCGCCCCACACTCCTCATCTCCCTCATCAGGGTTGTCTGATTCAGGGACAGGCTCTATGGCTTCATCACAATTTATACTGGCGAAGACATTGAGCAGTACAACCATTAGGATTTACTTTGGCCCAAATAAGGTTCTTGTTTCTATTGCAAGTATTTCACATTGACAAGTAGGCTAGAAGTCCAACCTCAAATATCTCACCTGTAGTAGAGGAACTTGGATAGGATTGCTTTTTGGTACCAGTGTTCTTTACTCTTCTTTTTCCTCTGCCACTTCTGATCTATTACCCTCTGGTAAAACTCCTTTAGCCATGTCCAATCTCCTGTCTGTGACATAGTGTAAAAACAGAACATACCATACATACAGATCATACTACTATCCTGGCTACAATCAAAGAAAAACACAAGCAAATGTATTTCTACATGCATTGTCAATCATCCAGACATGAGGCTCTCTCACATCCTTCATTGACATCAAAACAGGCTTCTTCTCCAATGGCTGTCTAACTGTACCCGAGATGACCTCATGAAGAGCTCCTGAATGTCCAGTTCATCCAGGAGGAGAGTCCTTCCCACGCAGTGGACTGCCATACTGACATGGGACTTAGTGTAGGGGATCTTCAACAGCTTCTTGATGTTCTGAGTAGAAAAGAGAATGAGACCCTTAGGTTCACCAAACAGTTTTGATTACCAAACAAGTCAAATACATAATAGCAGTAGAAATAACACAACAATCTTAGCTGTTCAGTGGATAGACCTACCTCAGAGTCCGACACCACATCAACATCATCCCCAATGGAATCAATGAAGTCATAGGCCATCCCAAAACTGCAGCAAGGAGAAGGTACATGTACATGAGCACCTTGCAACAATTCAGTGATGATACATACCACCAGATACCACATCTCGTTTTGAGGGCTGAATAACCGGCACTTCACCTGGAGAAAGGCTTGCTCTTGCTGCTGGACCCTAGTACAGTGAAGCCTGCAGGCCCAATTTGGGGGCTCTCCCGTAGCCAGTTGGCAGGAGGCAGCTTCAGGTCCGTCTTCTCCTGTAGTAGTGCATAGGTGGTGGGTGGAGGGGTACTAAGCAGAGTACTTCCCCACCTCACAGCTCTTTATTTCGTTGTTGCCTTGGCTAATTTCCAAATCCTTTGACACATGTAAACAAAGCCAAAGGAGGCATTGATGGTAAGCTGAGCTCACTTGTCTGTTAAGTCACTGACAACTTGATTCAATATAACAAGCAACAAGTTAAATGAATCTGTAGTTATTGTGATGTTAGTTACAACTAACTAAATACATTTAAATATCCCATGTACAGTATGTACAGCTACCTGTCCTGTACAACGTCATAAAATAATGTGACCCTGCAATGCATGCGTAAACAGATAGCTAACTGCAGTTCAAAGCGAACTAGCTATTGCTTACCTGTCATACACGTCTTCACTTCCACAGTCTGGAGGGACGCCATCCTCTCGGTTCCCAGCTGTTGCTGAACTCATTCTCTATCTACAAGCTAGCTACTGGCCACAAAAACGAATGCTGTCCAAGAGGTACCCGTCCATAGCAAACTATCTGCCTTAAAATGTCAACAACAATTGCACAGTGACAAGATGACTGCTGGCTAGCTACTGTAGCTGCTAACTCACCACCTACTGGTTACAGTAGCTAGCTAACGTTTTAACGATACACACCAAGCAACATATTTGTTAATGATCTGAACGATATGAAAATTAGCTGACAAATTGAGTAACTGCTTTAACATTATCTATCACTGTTTTGCAGAACCTTCCAGCCTGTATCAACATCACTTGCTTTAGCCGTTCTGTCTGCTGCTGTTGACAGACCACACGTTTGTGTAAAGCAAGAGATCAGAGTAGCGAGAGAGCTCACAACTTCCGGGTAAAAAAATACTAAATAAAAGACCGCATTTGCAGGATTATGAATTGAGCCAAACTCCAAATGAAGCTATGAAGGGTAAATGGCTTTTAATCTAATACAACAGGATGTGGTAGCTAGCTGTTACTTAACGGATATAATTGGATTTGGACAAAGGCGACAAACACATATAAAAGAAGGGTGGTTACGGTTGGACTTTTAGTTTGATATAACCTGTCGGTTGTGATATACTGTGAGGCTTTTTAGTGGCTGCTAACTTCACATGTTCAATTATGATCCGGATATGACAATTCCTTCTGGAAGTTTACTTCCAGTGAATTTCCAGAAAAGGCCACAATAAATTGAATTTTCGGGATAATTTTTATTCATTCTCTTATGTTCTGATTCTTTTATTTTTCTATTCTTTACCCTGATTTCTTATCTTTAGCTAAATGTATTATTTCTTTATTTTCATATTCCTTTTCCCCCCAGTTCCCTTTCCCTCTGTTTTATTATTGGAAGGTTAAATAAAACTGCCTTCAAATGAATTGTAGTAAACTGGGATAATGTGCCTAGAAAGCAGGGAGTAAGGTGGGCTGAATTGTGATGTAACACGCAGAAATAAAGACACCATTTTTTTCAAATGGAATACAAATTATTTGTGATTAGTATGTTACTATAGTTACTGTTGTTTGCATTCTTTGTGAGAAGAATGTGAGAAGCAAAAGTATTATAAACCCTGTCCAGTTGCCCATGTTTTGTGCTGTCGTTACAAAGTTTCAACCTTGAGAAAATGACAAAAGGTGGTAAGAAATACTCATCAATGGAAAAGGATGGCAAATGGGTAAGATTCTGATTACTTTTAATTTCTCACTATTAGCTTATGATGAGCCCATTATAATTGTACTCAACTTTGCAGATATTGACATATAAAGTTATTATAAAGACACCCCTGTACCTTTCCTAACAACTACATGTCTTTCAAATTGTGCAGCTGGCTCATGTAGGTTTACCAGCAAATGACACCAGTAACCGGGAGACATGCACCAGCACAGGGTCTATGCTGTCTCAGAGTGAACCATTACCTCCAGCATCTAGCACAGAGAAGTATCCAAAGATCTTCATCAACACAGAACAGGTTGGCAGGGTGTAATACATTCATGCAGATAGTGAAACATCTTACTCAAAAGTGTCTATGTGTTCTTGGGTTGTTGTTATGTGTGCAATGTCTTAGAAGAATGCATCACCTTAACTTCCATGAGGATGATTACATTTATCCTTTATACAATTTACTAATAATTGTTGGCATAATAATATCAACATCTGGGAGAAAGTGTGATATATCAATTAACTATTCTCTTTACAGAAAACCATGGGAAGAGTCTATCCATTCTCAGCCCATGATAACCAAGCTGCACTGCAACATACCATCAATGTATTTGATGATGTAAGCAATATGCCCACTACAAAGAAAACAAAGACATCATCTAGGATGTCGTCAAATGAACACTAAGGTTTTTTAAATAAGATAGTACAACTAAATAAAATTGGAAACACAAAGGAAACAATACCATTTTTCTTATGGCGTTTTTCATAGGGATTAGGCCGCAAGAAATGCCTGGACGAGCGTAGGCAACATAACTCCCACTTCTGCCTGTGCCACCATGGAAGTGTAAGTTGCGTGGGGGAGACAAGGGGAGACTTCTCAGCCTATCAGACAGACTACCAAGACTGCCAGGACACAGAGGGCTCCTCCACCAGCAGGCGTTTTCCCAGGAACCATCTTGAGAGGTCCACTGTGGCAGCTGCTGCCCAGGCAGGAGAGCACTTTATGTGGTTCGGGAGGCATGATGAGGACCGTCCTGTGCCCCTTGAAGTGCTGGCAGCTACAAACTGCTCCTCCTCATCCAAGCCTTCCAGACACTTCTACCATAGCAGGCATTAGATGAAATCACCAAATTATCCAAATACTCTTCTTTAGGAAATCTCAAAGCAACACATCTGGATTGTCTTACAAGTGCAAAAACAAAACAAAAAAAACGTTGAGATACGGAGATGTTGAATTGTATTATTTATACATTGCACCTTTTACAGTAAAACTGGGTTCTTAAGGAAAAACAGATCAAACTACCATCCCCTTTGTTCATCAGTAATTAATCAAATCCAGACTAATTACGTAATGAAGGGCCATCTATTTTCAAGTACACCATTCATCACAATATTTAATGAAGTAGATAGAAAAACCTTGTAAATCAATCACATCATAAATGAGAAAGATTATTGGATGTGATGTACAAAAGGCAAAAGAAGAAGAAACTGAGGAGACGTTGCAGCCTGGTCTTAAAGACGTAACATAGTACGTGTAAATCCGAGACACTGAAATTAGTATGATATGTTATGCTTGGTATAGTTACATAAGAGAGAACGGAAGTAGGGTATAACACAAACGTCTTTCAACCCAAAGGTTGAGAGTTTGAATCTGATCACGGACAACTATAGCATTTATCTAATTAGCAACTTTTCAACCACTTACTACTTTTTAGCAACTTTGCAACTACTTAGCATTTTAGCTAACCCTTCCCCTAACCTTAACCCTTTAACCTAACTCCTAAACTTAACCCTAACCCGTAGCCTAGCTAACGTTAGCAACCTAGCCACCTTGCTAGAATTCATAACATATCAAACGTTAAGCAAATTCATAACATATTATACGTTTTGCAAATTTGTAACATATAAGACGAATGGTAATTCGTAACATATCATAAGAAATGGGTGATGGACATCCACAATTAATGCATACCATACAAAACGTAACATACACCATATATACAAAAGCATGTGGACACCCCTTCAAATTAGTGGATTCAGCCACACCCGTTGCTGACAGGTGTATAAAATCGACCACACAGCCATGCAATCTCCATAGACAAACATTGGCAGTAGAATGGCCTTACTGAAGAGCTCAGTGACTTTCAACATGGCACCGTCATAGGATGCCACCTTTCCAACAAGTCAGTTTGTAAAATTTCTGCCCTGCTAGAGCTGCCCCGGTCAACTGTAAGTGCTGTTATTGTGAAGTGGAAACATTTAGGCGCAACAACGGCTCAGCCGCAAAGTGGTAGGCCACACAAGCTCACAGAACGGGAAAGCCGAGTGCTGAAGCACGTAGTGCGTAAAAATTGTCTGTCCTCGATTGCAACACTCACTACCAAATTCCAAACTGCATCTGGAAGCAACGTCAGCACAAAAACTGTTCGTCGGGAGCTTCATGAAATGGGTTTCCATGGCCGAGCAGCCTAAGATCACCATGCGCAATGCCTAGCGTTGGCTGGAGTGGTGTAAAGCTCGCCGATATTGGACTCTGGAGCTGTGGAAACGTGTTCTCTGGAGTGATGAATCACGCTTCACCATCTGGCAGTCCGACGGACTAATCTGGATTTGGCGGATGCCAGGAGAATGCTACCTGCCCGAATGCATATTGCCAACTGTAACGTTTGGTGGAGGAGGAATAATGTTCTGGGGCTGTTTTTCATGGTTCGGGCTAGGCCTCTTATTTCCAGTGAAGGGAAATCTTAATGCTACAGCATACAATTACATTCTAAACAATGATGTGCTTCCAACTATGTGGCAACAGTTTAGGAAAGCCTGTTTCCTGTTTCAACATGACAATGCCCCTGTGCACAAAGCGAGTTCTATACAGACATGGTTTGTCAAAAATCGGTGTGGAAGAACTTGACTGTCCTGCACAGAGCCCTGACCTCAACCCCATCAAACACCTTTGGGATGAATTGGAACGCCGACTGCGAGCCAGGCCTAATCGCTCAACATCAGTTCCCGACCTCACTAATGCTCTTGTGACTGAATGGAAGCAAGTCCCCGCAGCAATGTTCCAACATCTAGTGGAAAGCCTTCCCAGAAGAGTGGAGGCTGTTGTAGCAGCAAAGGGGGGACCAACTCCATATTAATGCCCATGATTTTGTAATGAGATGTTTGATGAGCAGGTGTCCACATACTTTTGGTCATGTAGTGTATCATACTAAATGGATGTCTCGGATTTACATACAGAATAATACGAAATGCTCTGAGACCAGGTTAGACATTATGGTATTATATTCCTCTACTGATTAAGATTCACCATGAAAATGCAAGCTTGTTACTTCGAACTTGGTTGAATTGATACTGCTACAATCCAGACCATCTCAGGCATTTACACCAGCTCAATGGCAAACATGATTGAGATGGAAAGTGTGCGTGTGTGCCTGCATGTGGTCTGCTCTGTTTTCAGTACTGCAGTGCACCTACAGAGGGTTTTAGGCTAAATGCACATATCTCTAGCAGATGGCAGCTATGTGAGTAATGGTTATTTTATGTAACATAACAGATAAGTACAGTACTTATCTGTTATGTTGTGCATGACCTCATCAAGAAAGACATCACTTATCGGGGGCCCAGGCTTGGAAAAGAAAAAAAGTAAGAAACCGGGTTTGAACCTCATGTCAGAGACAGGCAAATTAGAGCATCTGCATGGAAGGGAGCTTGATGGTGTCTATTAGACATGCTACAACATGTTCCAAAGTCTGACAGATACCCTTCAGAAACAATCTGTTTCACTGTAACCACTTAAAGAGGACATGGCCGACTGTACTGGAGCACTGAGAAGAGGAGGTAGGATTGGGTGTAAGGCAATGAGAACACCTGCTTGGGATGTCTGTATATTCTCTATGCGGGCAAAAGAGAGAGAGAGAGAGCGGGAGAGAGAGAGAAGTGGGCTGGGGAGCAGCTGCTCTCCTTCATTGAACACTCTCCAGGGAGATTGTTTTTCACTATTTATTTCTCTCCAGGGTCTTTCTATCTTGCCTGACCTTTACTTCACCGTTAGATCATACAGTATTAAGAAGAGATTAATTAGACAATGAACTGACCTTTTGAACCAGCCGTTCTCTCACAGTTAGTAGGTTTGCTGCTGGAGACAGTGGATTGACAGAACGTGTTCAGTAACCACAGGAATAGAGAAAGAGGAAGATAGTAATCTATCTTCTAAGATCGTCCTCTATTTTTTATCTTCCACCCTATGGAAGACTTGTTAAAAATAACCAGACTTTACATTACTGTAAAGAAAGGCAAAGATGGATCCACCTGGATCCGTAATTCATATGTCACCATCAAATCACCATCAAATATCTTATCTTCAGAGGCAGTTGCACATCAGGAATCAAATCAAATTGTATTTGTCACATGCTCCAAATACAACGGGTGTAGACTTTACAGTGAAATGCTTGCTTACAAGCCCCTCCCAACAATGCAGAGCAAAAAAATAATAATACAATGAAAAATAGTAACACAAGAGGAATAAAATACACAAGAAAGGAGCTATATACAGGGACTACCAGTACCAGAGCAATGTGTAGGGGTATGAGGTATATGAGATAGATATGTACATGAATGCAGGCTAAAGTGACTAGGCATCAGAATAGATAATAATAAGAGTAAAATAAAGAACAGAGTAGCAGCAGCATATGATGAGTATGTGTATTTGTGTTGTGTTGGTATGCATGTGTGTTATTTGTATGGGTGTTGTGTGAGAATGTCAGTGTAGTGTGTGTGATTTTGCATATATAGTGTGTATATGTAGTCTTGTGAGTATGCATAGAGTCAGTGCAGATAGTCCGGGTAACCAGTTAATTAACTATTTAGCAGTCTTATGGCTATTTAGCAGTCTAATGGCTTGGGGGTAGAAGCTGTCTCGGAGCCTGTTGGTCCGAGAGCTGATTCTTCGGTATCGTTTGCCGGACAGTAGCAGAGTGAACAGTCTATGGATAGGGTGACTGGAGTCTTTCGCAATTTTTGCTGGGCCTTCCTCCACTTTGACTTGAACTGAATGGATAAGGTAAGAAGAATGGAGGTGGTATCAGGGTTTCTGACGCCTTTGGATTGGAGGACGGCTCATAATAATGGCTGGAACAGAGCGAATGGAAGGCATCAAACACATGGAAACCAAGTGTTTGATGTATTGGATACCATTCCACTAATGGCGGTCCAGCCATTACCACGAGCCCGTCCTCTCCAATTAAGATGGCACCATCCTCCTGTGGTCTGTATTAATGCTTGGGGAGAGAATTGTCGATACAGTAGCCATGAAGAGGAGCCTCTACTGTACTGAGAAGCAGGTGCTACTTACAAAGTAACACCTGCGCCTCGCTGTCTGGCAGTCCGTCTGTCTGTGTGTTACTGTTTAGAATGTATTTTCTGTCTGTACCTGCTGGATAGTGAGACTGTAGTGCTCGTCTTGGACTTGCCACAACATGTCTGTTCGATGCATTGACTATACACCACACCCCAGCCTCAAGGAGCTCAGCATAAACACACACTCATACACAAAAGCACACACGCACACATACAGTTGAAGTCAGAAGTTTACATACACCTTAGCCAAATACATTTAAACTCAGTTTTTAACAATTCCTGACATTTAATCCTAGTAAAAATTCCCTGTCTTAGGTCTAGGATCACCATTTTATTTTAAGAATGTGAAAGGTCAGAATAATAGTAGAGAGAATTATTTATTTCAGCTTTTATTTCTTTCATCACATTCCCAGTGGGTCAGAAGTTTACATGCATTCAATTAATAATTTGGTAGCATTGCCTTTAAATTGTTTAACTTGGGTCAAACGTGTCGGGTAGCCTTCCACAAGCTTCCCACAATAAGTTGGGTGAATTTTGGCCCATTCCTCCTGACAGAGCTGGTGTAACTGAGTCAGGTTTGTAGGCCTCCTTGCTCGCACACACTTTTTCAGTTCTGCACACACATTTTCTATAGGATGGAGGTCAGGGCTTTGTGATGGCCACGCCAATACCTTGACTTTGTTGTCCTTAAGCCATTTTGACACAACTATTGGAACTATGCTTGGGGATATTGTCCATTTGGAAGACCTATTTGCGACCAAG